GAGGCTGATGCTGATGCTGCTGATGATGATGATGATGCTGATACTGCTGCTGCTGCTTATGATGATGATGATGGTGGTGGTGGTGATGATGATGATACTGACGATGACGATGATGATGAAGATGACGATGATGATGATGATGCTGATGGTGATGATGACGATGATGATGATGACGATGATGATGATGCTGCTGATGATGCTGATGATGCTGATGATGATGATTCTGAATATTATGATGGTGATGATGATGATGATGATGATGATGATGGTGGTGGTGATGATGATGCTGCTGCTGATGATGATGATACTGATGTTGCTGATAATGATGATGATGATGATGATGATGATGATGATGCTGATGATGATGATGATGATGATGATGATGATCTGATTATGATGAAGATGATGATCTGATTATGATGAAGATGATGATGATTATGATGATGATGATGATGATGATGCTGATGATGATGATGATGATGCTGATGCTGATGCTGATGCTGCTGATGATGATGATGATGATGATTATGATGATGATGATGTTGATGATGATGATGATGCTGATGATGATGATGATGATGCTGATGATGATGATGATGATGATGATGATGGTGGTGGTGGTGGTGGTGGTGGTGATGAGGAGGATGAGGAGTAGGAGGAGGAAAGAGGAAGAGGAAGTGGAAGAGGAAGAGGAAGAGGAAGAGGAAGAGGAGGAAGAGGAAGAGGAAGAGGAAGAGGAAGAGGAAGAGGAAGAGGAGGAGGAGGAGGAGGAGCAGGAGGAGGAGGGGGAGGAGGATGGGGAGGAGGAGGAGGAACTGGAGGAGTCTCCCCCCGACCCCCAGGATTCTGAGGGACATGGCCGCCTCGCCCCCGGGGGGTCTCGGATCGCCGCCCCCATCATTTCGACCTGCAGTTACCTATGGGGAGAGCGCCAGAGCATCGAAGGCCGCACGCTTCCGTGCCCTCTCGGGTGGAAGCCCGCCGGGCCGCGGTCTCCCATTGGAGTTCTTGGTTCCCCTCGATGGCCTCGTCCCGAAGAGACGGCCAGAGCAGAGGGCCGCCATCTGCAGGGGATTTCCGCCGCACGCGCCAGTTTGGGCCTCCCCGCCCTCACCTTCTCCCCCCCGGCTCCTCCCTCCCTTTCATCCTCGATCCCTTTCCGCCCCCCCTTTCCTTCCCCTCACATGTCCCTCCCCCAGACCTCCTCCCCGCACCTCCTCTCCCCTTCCTGCCTCCTGCCCCTCCCACCCTGTCCCTCTCCCCCTCCCCTCCTGGTGCCCTCGCCCCCCGATGCCCCTCCCGGTCCCTTCCCTCCCCTCTCCTCTTCCCCCCCCCCTTGCCACAGCCGAGGGCAGTCCGTGCATGGCACGCCTCGCAGTCCGATCAAAGAGGCCTCCTCTGCAAGGCTCGGCGCACTCCCCGAGGAGAGACTGGGCGGAGCAGGAACAGGGGGCGGTGAAGGTGGAGGAGGACCTTGGGAAACGATCCTCCTGGACCCCAGGATACACATTATATATAAAGATAGATATAGATATATGAGAGAGCGTGATCCACCGCCGCTTTACTGTGGAAAATTGCCAACCTTTTCCTCCGGAGCCCGGGGGTCGACCCCCCCCCCCTCCGAAAATCCAACCCCCCTCCAGCTGGACCCCCCCCCCCCTCTCCCCGGCAAAACCCCCCCCCTCCCCCTAACCCCCCCCCCCCCCCCCCCCTCCCGCTCGAAAACTGGGGGGGGGGTCACTACCGGTTCGAACCCCCCCCCCCCCCCCCCCCCCCTCCGGATCCGGAAAACCGGGGGGGGTCACTACCGGTTCGAACCCGTCCCCCCCATGAGCTTCCTATCTGCGTTAATTAGTTTCCCATCGTTAATTAGCGCAGATGCGTATATGAATATATACGAATTAGCGCTGTCAATCCTAATTAGCGAGTGGTCAGCTCTAAAATTCACGGGTGCGCGCTAATTAGCAAGCGTACGCGCTAATCATTGCTTGTTGATCTAGCGAGTAGCACGCGTTAATTAGCGCGCGTGGTTTAGCGCGGACGACGTCGCTTTCGACCTCTCGCGCGCTTTTTTTCGCCGTTATAACCGTGAACGCGGTGCCGAACACCGTGATGCTTATCCATGCCCATACATATAATTCCCACGAAGGCACGCATGCAAAAAGACAGGGCCAGCAGAGAGAGAGAGAGAGAAGAAACGAGGACATATAAATACAGAGCAGGACAACCAAGAGAGAGAGAGGCAGAGAGCTAGGGGGGTCATTCGCAGCCGCCTTCACAGGCGGCTATTTTTTTTGTTTGTGTGTGTGTGTGTTTTTCGCAGCAGCGCTATCGCACGCGAACCAAAGGCTCCATGCGGAACCTGTCCATAACTTTGGCAGAGAAGGCCTTTGTGGTCATCGGGGCGCCACGCCTCCGTGAGATCCTGCTGACGGTCCCTCCCAAATCCTCGTCGCGGTAAGGCCAATTAGCTTTCGGGTCAGATTCCTGGGTGATGTGCACGAAAAAATGAAGTTTGGGCTTGCACCTGAAGAGTGCAGGGTGTCGCTGTGCGAGTGCGTCGTGCAGGAGCACGAAGCGTTTGCCGTTCGTCGCCATGGTGTCCCTCCTGAAATTAACAATTGTCCGCAAGGCCTCGTAACAATTATGGAGGTGGTTCGTCGCTGCGAGAATTGTCTGCTCCAGTTCGCTGCCACCGCTGAACAGTCTGTTGCATTCCTCCCACGCCCAACCCTCCAGGGCCCTGCACACGCCCGCCATGGCCTTTAGTTTCGGGGCGCTCCTGCGGCTTGCCTTTTTGATCATCAAGAGCGTCAGCTTGTGGAGCCTGTCGTCCGTCTTGTTCCTGTCGTAATAGGCTTGGATTGACGACCACATCCTGTTGAGGCGTTCGGCCCGATTCCCGCCGCCATAGCATTTACTGTCACTTAGAAGGAACCACATCACTGATCCGAACCAATCCAACGCCCTGGTCCACACAATGCAACCAATCCACTCGAAACAAGGAAAGGTCATCCACGCAGGGTGCCGACAACAACGGCGACGGCACGCGCCCGTTGCGCATGTTCCGAAGGATAAGTTCAGATTTGGGCAGCTGCGTCCTCCGCCATGGCGCGCCCCCCCGCGCGTCGCCAACCTGCGGGGGAAACAAATGCACGTAATCAGCCGCCTTCCGTGGCGCCCCGCCCACCACGCCAACCCGCCCCCCAGCCCCGAGGGGCAGAGAAACGGGCTGGGAGGGCGCGGGCGGAAGGAAGGAAGCAATTCACGGTCAAACCGTGGGGCGCGGCGCCTGATCGGGCGTGCACGCGCGCAGCCAGCAACAGCCGCCCCCCTCGTTCCAAGCAGGGAGCCCGAACGTGCATTTGTAGCTCGCCCAATCTCCTCTGACACCCACCAGAACACCCCGGAAGCCCAACGGTTTGTTGGAGCGACGCTTGCGGTACGAATCTGTCGCTTGCCAAGCGGCGCCATCGTGCCGACATGGCGGAAAGGCACCGCGTGCCATTGCCGAAAGCGACCGCCGCACGATCTCCATGCAGTCGTTGTGCGTGTTTGAACTCATGCGGGATTTGGGAAAAGCTGCCACAGGAACCCGCAAAGTCGAGTTGTCACCACTCAGCCCTGGAAGATTTACTTGAACGAGTTCGACTGAATCGCTCCTGTCGAAATTGTTGGGCACGCCATCAGCCCAGAGACCTACGGGCAAAAGGGTCTCTGCGCCCATCGCCGCCTGGCATCGCAACAGATGTGTTTTCGCCTCGACGTCCAAACCTTCCGTAACAAAGAATTTCGTCTCATCCGAATACGAACAAATGACTGAAAACATTTCGTGCGGCAGCAAAAAACACATATCTGAACGCACTTCTCTGTTCAGTTTCGGGTTCCACGTTCTCACCTTGGCCATGTATGTCGGCGGCCACTTGCACGCCTTCAGGAAATTCCTCTTCAAATCTCTGGCGATGTTCTTGCCTTCGCCGCGTCGCACCGCGGCGGTGGTGAGATCGCCGAACTGACCAGGGAGCAATTGGCCAAGCGGCGCCAAGAATTTATGCCCGAGTTCCCGTGCTGACTGCCTGTTTTCGAGAAATGAATCCCTGATGGCGCCGCGCAGGCGCTTCGACGGGGAACCGTCGTCCTGCCTCGCCCACGATTGGCGCTTCTTCCCCTCGAGCATGGGTTTACCCCAAAGCGGCGTGGAAAAGGAAGAGGCCTGAGCAGACGGCTACGGATCAGAAGAACCAGCGAGCGACAGCTGGATTGCCCGCCCCCCTTGGTCTTGTCGACACGGCCAGCGCCGCGCATCCCGCCCCTCCCTGCCAACGCCAATGTCACGCTATGCCTTCTTCATCGTCTCCCCGCCCTCCTCCAACCCCCACTTCTCCTCCTCCTCCTCCTCTTCCTCCTCCTGCTCCGCTACATTCTCTTCCTCCTCCTCCTCTTCCTACCTCCTCCTCCTCCAACTCGTCCTCCGTCCTTCCCCCCTTCCCCCGCCCCTCCTCCTCCTCCTCCTCGTCCTCCTCCTTCTCCTCCCCCATCTCCCTTCCTCCTTCTCCTCCTCCTCCCCCTCCTCCTCCTCCTGCTCGTCTTCTTCCTCTTCTTCCTCCTCCTTCTCCTCCTCCCCCCCTCGTCGCGATTCTGTTCTCGGCGGCGCCGCCTCCTATACGGGGGGCGTTTTTTTTGCGCAGGTCGGCAGGGGGTCTTTTTCTGGCGGCGGCGGCGGCGGCCGCGCCGGAACACCTCTCCGCGGCGCGGCGGGCAGATACGGAAAGCATGGAAAATATTTATATGGAAATATGGAAAATACGAAGGAGCACAACATGACACGCTGCGTCGCTCCAGCATCGAGGCACCAAGACGCATGCGCTTGAAAGAAGCAGTGCAATCTGCGCGCTCAGACATCGCACCCCTGTGAACAACCGACTTCACGACGCCGCCTCGAAATGGCGCCCCCAACGCTTTTTCCCCTCCTTGAAACCCGCCATGTGTTGCTCACCCGCCTTCTTCGCATTCTGCAGCCGCTCGGTGATCTTCAGCGCGGCGTCGTCGTCATCCGACGCATCCACGGACGCAGCCTCTGCGAGCGAAGTCTCCGTATCCTCGAGAAATGCAGCCATGAGTTTCTGCGCCATGCCAATCTCGGTCTCGCGCTGCTCGTAGTGGCCGTCCTTCTTGCGCAGCATCGACGCTTTCGCCTTCAGCTGCAGGAGGGCGCCCTGGTTCTTGCGCAGCGTGGCCAAGATAATCCTGCAAGGAGAGGTTGGCGAAGGGGGGCATGAATGGAGATGAGAAGGGTGGTGGGGGGGCATGAGTAGGGAGGAAATGGCCCTGACGGGATGCATCTCCTTTTTCAGTGTCTCGATGGCCACTGACTCAGCGATCGCGCCACGCGAAGAAGAAGATGCGCTCCCAGGGGCATCGGTGATCTTTTTGAGGGCGGAAACCGAGCTCAACATGTTTTTCCTCTCGTCGGTGCTGGTCATGGTCTTCGTCATGTTCCTGTAGTAGTGCTGCGACAATAACGGCTCCTCTTCGTCGATGACACAGTGTGTTCTCGCCATCTGAGGGCCCAGGCCAAGAGCGATGTAATTTTGTTCTACCAAGCGAATGCACGCATCGCTGGCGCGCTGCTGTTGCGCCTGATCCATGGTGAACACGTTCGCGTGGATGCCGTTGAACTCCAGGATTTTCGCCCTGGGCAACGTTAGGAATCATAGCGCGCCGACAACAGACGCCCCAAAATGATTGATTCATGCCGGAGGGGTGCGGTTTGCTTATCCACTTTCTCTGGCATTTTGAAAACAAAGTAATCAACTTCATTCCATCACGATATAACCTCTCCACATTCATTCTAGCGTAGGTGGAGGGGGGGCACAAGGGCGAGACTGAAAGATGAAAAGGGCAGCGGCGGGAAGGCGGAGGACGAGGCGCGATAGTGGAGGGGGTGGGAGAGAAGGGGGAGCGCACGATTGGATATCGTCGGCTGGAGAGCCTGGTGAACATGCCCTCCTGGTGGGAATGCGTCTCGCTCTCCTTCTTCTCGTGTGACTTAGTGCAAGAATGAACCCATTTCAAATTCTTGAAACCACCGTTGTTCTCCACATCAGCGATGAAACTGCGTCTGTCGCTGCTCCCGCCAGGCATTTCCAACCATAAGTCTAAGGCCTTCTGAGCGTTAGCGCGGGACTCTTCGGTGGCGCCCTTCCTGTGGTTCGTGGCATGGTAGCGGAGCGAGTTCTCGAAGCTCTTCACCGCTCTGGGATCAGCTGTCGCAACCTCCTGATCGGTCTCTGCAAGCGCCTGTTCCTGGTGGTCAGATGGCTTCTTCTCTTGTTTGGCCAGGAGCAGCTGGAACGTTTTGGCCGTCTCCTTCTCTGGCTTCGGAGCCAATGATGGGGGCGGCGCTGGCGGTGGAGATTTTGTTGCCGTGGGATGCGCAGGCGCTGCTTCAACTGGAGCCGCGGCGGGCCTCTTCAGCACTGGGGGATGCGCATCCTCGTCGTAATCCTCAGGCATCGCAGCTGCTGGCCTCTTGGCCACCATATCTGCAATTCCGACGCGGATTGATGCTGCACGGGTGGGGAAGCTTGTAAGAAGAACGATTGCGCAGATGCAGAGCGAAAATAACGTCATCGCTTGAGCCAGCAAACAGCTACAGACAAGTCGGATCGCTCAGAAAACGATTGCGGATGCCATCGCCGCGATCAAGCGAAACGACGCACTGACTGACCACAACAGATTGCCTATTGCGCGCACCGTACACCGTTGAGGAGGCGGATGGAGAAGGAAGCAATCAGCCAACTCAAAAACCAAGTTCACGAAACTCCGAGTGACGAAGGCGGTCGGACCGAGCCTATCAGGTATAAGCCGAATGGGCCACCACCATCATACCATACCATACCATGCAGAATATCATATAATATTACACGTTGCTAATAAACTGAACGGTGCGCATACACACACCACTACACATGGTAAAATATTTTACCCGTAAGAATTTTACTGCTTGTTTTGTGAAGTAAAATTTTTACTGGTAAGATCTTTTACTTGCATATTGGGTCTCTCATGGTGGCGCGTAGGGTATCACGTTTGCTGACAGAGCAGAAACCGACCCATTTGGAGAGAAAAGGGTCGGTTTCCATAGCGGCAAGCGCTGTCTAGAAACGATACTCGTTTGTAGCATGATCGACGGAAAATGCAACGTGCAATTTATTTAGATTCTGAAGCTATCCAGCATTTCACGCACTGTTTCTCGTGAAAACGATGCGTTTTCAATCATGCGAAGCATTTGCCGTCAATCGTCCGCGATTTCTCCAGGAAGAACTTGCGTCGCACTTGAATCGCATTTGGGTCTCTGCAACTCAAGCTGTGCGATCAGTTGCCCTGCTGCCTCCTTCTGAGGAGGCATGCTACAATGTGGCATGCAAAACTCTAACAATTCAATCTGCACCTCTATCTCTGCCCTGCCCCGCCCCACTGCAGGTCCCATCGCGAGAGGGTGAGGGTTTATTTTCAGGCGCCGAAGGTGGCGAAGATTCAAGGGGCGCGCCCCCTTGATTCAGTGCAAACGGACATGGAAGCTCTCACTCCTTCCTCGGTTTCTTCTTGGGGCGTGGCGCATCGTAATTGGCGGCGTCACTCTTGTCCTTGAGCCGCCTACGGGACGGCGCTGATCCGCTCCCGCTGCCGCCGTGTTCGTTATCTTCGTCTGAGGGCTGCTTGACGTTGCTGGGGAAACGGAGGCAACCTCCGACGATGGTGCAATTCTCGTCGGCGTCGGCATGGGTTTCGTGCTTCACGGCAGAACCTGATTTCGCTCCAGCGCGAAGCCCGTCGCTCGACTCGATCACTGGCAACGGCGGAAGAATGAGAGGAGCGATTGGCGCTACTGGTGGAAACTGCTGCTGTCCCGCAACTGGCGCTGCCACCAATGGGGGCGGTGCTGCTGGCGGGGTCGGGATCGGCGGTGCGAGCGGCGCTGCTGCTGCCATCTGCTGCTGCATCTGCTGAAGCTGCTGCATCTGAAAATGCTGCATCTGTTGCATCTGAAGCTGCTGCAGCTGCTGCATGATCGCTCCTGGGTCCGAAGCTGCCGCCCCCGTCGGCTTCGGAACGGGATCGGGGGCTGGCTGCTCTGCCTGCGGAGGCTCTAGCCATTCCTGCGGGGCCAGCTGTCCAGCAGAAAACACTTCGCGCCCTCCATCGCCTTCATCGACGAGATCCACCTGCGGCGGGGGGGCGGGCGCGCTCGCTCTCTCTGTCTCTTTCTCTGTTTCTCTCTTTCGTTACCTTTCTCTCTCTCTCTCTCCCTCTCTCTCTCTCGCTCTCTCTGTCTCGCCGCCTCTCTCTATCACTACTCCTCGTTCTTGGTCACCCGTCCCTTCCTTCCTTCCTTGCTCCCCTTCTCCGCCTCAATCCTGCATTTCCGACTCTCCACTCCGTTGCCCAATCAGCTCTCCTGCAAAGGAGAGCAAATTGTCTGGCGGGCCCAATGGCCTGCCGCGCCTTGTTCTGTTTCTTGCGTTGAGTCTGCTTCCAGGGCCGCGCATTGCTCCCGTTCGTTGACATGACATCTAGCTCAATGGTGGTGGTCCGACCAGTCTGCCGACAATGCGCTGCAGGATGCATCACCGCTGGAATGCTGCCGTGGGAATCCGCGGCGCCCTCCATGTAGGCGCGCTGTTGATGTGCTTGGCACTGCGGAGACACGCAGCCATGCCCGCCTCCCATATAAGCGAAACAGCTGCATTTGTCGCAATGCTTTGTCCCGTTCCAAAGAAACAAGCGCATGGGCTGCCCCGCCCGAGCTCGGCCCTTCTCCGTCTGCTGCCAGCCGTCGCTCTGGGAGATGAGCCAGTGCACCTCATCGTGCTCCATCTCCTCCTCCTCCTCCTCCTCCTCCTCGCCTGGCCCCTCCTGGAAATCAGGGCGCGTGTCCCTTCGGTCGTCGCCTCCTCCTGGTGGCGGAGCGTCACCTCCAGGCGCAGCTGCCATCGTCGTCGCCTGACCCGCGCGCGCCTGCATTCTCAAAACCTGCGCTGCTACTGCTGCTGCTACCCCTGCCAACATCTCTGCGACGGCTACTTTCGCTGCCGCTGCTGCCCCTGCCAATGCCGCCCGTGCCCTGCCCCTCCTCCGGAGACGGCAGCAACGCCGCCACTGCCGAGAGCAAGGCGAGCAGCGCCATCTGCGCCGCGGAAGTCGTCGGGAAAGCAACTCGAAAGGTCGCCGCTCGTCTGGCACCTTGCAGTCGGCGTGGCTGCGCGACAAAATTTGTTGTCAAAATTGTTCGAGGCAGAGCAGGTCAATCCACCAGTCTATCAGTCAATAAATCAGACGACCAATCAACCAATCAACCTGCCAATCTTTAAGGATTGGCAGGTCGATTGGTTGATTGCATCAATCAATCTACCGATCAATCTATCAACATATCGATCAATCAATCGATCTATATATTTGCTATTTATCATAGCAATAAAACATTGAAAATTTTTCAATGTTTTATTGCTCTATGCACAAATCCATGCACACCTACGCACTAGACCAACGGCAACCGAAACCGAGCATCGAACACAAAGGAGACCGTCCGCCAAAAACGAAGCAGCCGCGAGCGAGACGCGCCAGCCGAGCCGCGAACCGACGCAAACGCGGAGCCCGACTTCGCGAGAAAGGAACCAGCCAGACGCAAGCCCCGAGGAGGGGGGGGGGGGGGGGGGGAGACCGCACCAGCGCTATGGCAATCTGTTGTGGCCAGCCAGGCGCGATCGCCTCATCGCAAGGCGCGGCGCCCCAGCGTCGCGGCCTCCCACGCAGGAGGCATTTTTTCTGAGGAAATGGAAGGAGGGAGGGGGGGGAGAGGGGGGGGGGGGGGGCGGAGAGGGAGGAGAGACAGGGAAAGAGAACGATAGACAGAGAGAGGGGGCGTGTACCAAGAGAAGGACATGTAGAAATACATACACATATAGAAAAAGAAGAGAGGGGAAGGGCGAGAGAGAGCGAGAGAGAGAGAGAGAGAGAGAGAGAGAGAGAGAAAGAGAGAGAGAGAGAGAGAGAGAGAGAGAGAGAGAGAGAGAGAGAGAGAGAGAGAGAGAGAGAGGGAGAGAGAAACCAAAAAGAGGGAGAGAGAGAAAGAGAGAGAGAGAGACAGAGAGAGAGAGAGAGAGAGAGAGAGAGAAAGAGAGAGAGAGAGATAGAGCGATAGAGAAAAAAAGAGGCAGCCTCCTGCACAGGAGACCCTTTTTTAACAG